GACATTTATGCTGTTTAAATGCTATGTATATATATATATATATATAACACTTACATACACTAAATGATCAAAATTATACCATAAGAAGAGAGAGAAATATATATATACAGTACACGCACACACACACACACACACACACTAGGACTGCAAAACGATTAATCGCAATTAATCGCACTCACAATAAATGTTTATATTTACATACTGTGTGTATATATATTTATACTTGTATATAATTAATATTATATATAAATATAAATATTTATATATAAATCTAACATACAGTATTTTTCCTTAATATATACATGTATGTGTGTATTTATATTTACATAATAATAAATATGCACAGTACACACACATATAGTATGTAAACATAAACTTCTATTTTGAATGCGATTAATCGTTTTGCAGCTCTAATAAACAGTAGGCAGAGGCGGACAGTAGTGAAGTGAGTGTTTTTCTTTAGAAAACTTTACTTCACAACATTCCAAAGCATAATATTGTACTTTTTACTGCACTACGTTTCATATTAAATATCATTGAATACTTAATTTTATTAGAAATCTATTACTTTCTTACTTTTACTCAAGTAAAAGTAATTCAAAGATTTACTTGAGAACAAGAAAGTGCTACATTTTTATTGTTCTTAAGTATTAAAGATAAAACAAACAACAACTTTTATTTATGAAATGTAGTGCAGTAAAGAGTATGACATTATGCTTTGGAATGTAGTGAAAGAAAGGTTTACAAAGAAAAACATTCTGATAAACTACAGATACTTTTTTAATTTACTTGAGTAAAGTAAAAATACTTCACTACTGTCCGCCTCTGACAGTAGGCCTATCATCTTCTTAACATTTGTGAAAAAACAGGGATCATTTTGTTTGTATCAAGGCTGATAAATACACACTGCCTTTAGAGTACCTGTAATTTACTAATTGTAATATTATTTAGTAAAATATATAGGCAAGAAGCATGTTTTACATATTATTTATATATTATAGATTATTTTAAATTATAATTAAATATATAATAGTATACCAAATATATAATGAAACAATGAGCTCAAATAAATGTATATTACATGCAAAAATGCAAAAAAAAATTTGAAATGATTATAAGTTACTGTGAAAGTTTATAGTTACTGTGGTTGTTATGCTGAAAAAAGATGAAGAAGAAGCATGTGAATCAAATGTTCTTGAAGCCATACGATAGCTTTCTGTGGAAAAAAAGACTAAATAATCTTCTCCTTCCTTGTGCCGATTTATGAATGAATCAGTCAATGCTTGAATTGTTTGGTCCAATCTCTGTTCTTCGCTCATTCTCTCTCTTTTTTCATTGTCAGACCCCTAGGGCCTGGGTAGATGAGCGGAGGAGAGGCTCTCATAAGCGATCGGCTTCCTGCGGCAGCACTGACCAGCTGAAAGAGGTGAGACATCTAGAGCTATTATAACATGTGCTGATCCACCCTCCTCTTTTTTATGTACTATGCTATTCATCATCTCTGTTTTGACTTCTTTTAGATTGCAAAATTGCGACAACAGCTCCAGCGGAGCAAGCGCAGCAGCCGCCATCGCCGGGACAAAGACCGCAAATCCCCCTTTAATGGCAACCATGCCATCATCCAATCACAGGTGGGCTTCATCGCATTCCAGCAGCCACCATTTGTGCTTGTGTGTGAATGTACATCATTAATAATACCTCCATAACCTGGGCTAGTACACGCTGCAGAATAGAAGTAGGCCAAACATCTGGAGAATTTAATAGCGCCCCACTTTCCTGCATATCTGTCCCAATTTTGCGGTTTCTCTGGCCCCTCAGAGACTGGGGGACAGTGGCTGGTTTTAGAGTAGATTACAAAGACAGTGTCCTCTTGCAGCCTGCCTTCACCAGCACAGCCTTTGGATGAATAAGTCAACACATTGTATTTCTATGCGTGTGCATTTTTATAACATTTGTGCAATTAATTATACATGACTCCTCAGCAGTATACAGCAACCTAACATGAAAATAAGCACCCTTAGTAGAAGACATTTTATTGTTTACTTGAAGGAATATTTCAGGTTTAGTACAAGTTAAGCTCAATCATTAGCATTTGTCAGCTAATGTTGACTACCACAAAAATAATTTAGATTTAAGAGTTGAGGTTATGGTGAGGTACTTACAATTAATTATAAGTACTCACATTAACCATTGCTCAAGGAAATTTTGCGAAATTCAGTCATTTAGCAATCTGCATGATCGAAAATTTCACATGAGGTCGGAACAGATTTCGCATCAGGTTCAGACTTTTCACGCAAATTTGCTGCATTGACCAACAGATCTACACAGAGAAGTGTATTTTGCATCACTACACTATTAAAAGTGGATAATGGTCCTTTTTGCAAGTGAATTTTCAGTTAAATTTCACTAAAGTGTAATTCTTATAGGGTTGAACGCGTTTTTAGGCGTTTAGGAAAAATTATACAATTAAAAAAAACATACAAAAGGTTAGAAAGCAATTTTTCCACATTAAAATCACGTAAGGGGCCCATTTACACAGATTGAGTTTTTGCTTTGAAAAATGCAAGATACAGGCAGTGAATGGTAAAAAACGCAAACTTTTTTTTTTTTAAGTTGAACTTATTTGAACTTGAAACAGCGTTTTGAGAACACCATGTCATGCGCAAGATTGTGCAAAAGAAACAAGATACGAGTGTAATGGTCTATTTTGTGCATGTTTACATAGAAAAACAATGGAAAAGTAGTGCAGTGGAATGAAAAAAACATGCACAATGCACATCTTGTGGCTATACTACTAAATAATGGAAGCAAGTATTTCAGCGTTTACAGATTGGCTCCATTCACTTCCATTTGCTTCACTGTAATCCAGATTTGTGCTTTTTTTTAAAGAAAGAAGGAAGAAGCGGAAACTAGTTTTTGTATGCCACAATTTCCATAGATTAAGCTTAATTCGTACCAAACCTGGAATATTCCTTTGTGTTTTGAAGATAGGAGAGGTTTTGTCAATACATCTCAAAAGCCAAGAGGACTCATACTTGTTTCTGAGAAATGCAACACACAGAGAAATAAAAAAAAGGCAACATTTTGGCTATCCATAACCATAAATGGCTAAAATCATAAGAGCATGGAGAAAATATTTAGAAAGAGCACTTACATCACACTATACTCAAAATAAGCACCCTCAAGCTCAGCAGTAACGGGCTCTCAGTTGTACTGCTCTCTGTAGTCGGTGGTTTGTGTATAATGATGGAGCTTAGCCTGGCAGAATGTTTGATTTTTGGCAGTGGAGAGACTGTAGAGATTGTGTATGTGTGGGCTTAGCGTGTGTGGGAGTCGTTCTAACAGGATTACACAGAAGGCTGGTTTCCCCTACAGCGGGAATTTTTGTGGACCCATACACACATTTCTGAAGAAGCATTGTACCCTTTCCTCTTTTTCACTCGCAGTCTCAGATGCCTAAAACCATCCTGATTCCCATCCCCATCTCTAAGTCCACACCTCCCAGATTTCGGAACAGCATAGAGGGGCTCAACCAGGAGATTGAACGCATCATCATCCGGGACACTGTGGAGAGAGATGAGATCATAGTAGTGAGTGCATCTCAACAACTTTTTTTTTTTTCAGCAACTGCAGAGTAAGAAACCAGAGACAATTCCTAGTTAAGTCGTCAAAATATATACATTTTCATTGTGTTATTGTGGGTGGGTTCCCTATACTATAATTATGGTTAATAATTATGATGCTTTTAATGGTTTTAATACAGTTCACCAAAACTCACATTATGAAAAATAGTAATGACTGCAAATCGCAAACTGTATCAAAACTGTATTCTAACAAAATTATGACTTTACAAAAACACAATAGACATGAGAACATATGATAAATAAAACTGTATTTAACAAATAGTTTTAACATTTTGTGATTCTATTTAATATTTTAACTTTCACAAACTGCGAATATATTGTTTAAAGTAATTACCACTTTTTAACTTTTCAAATCTTATTTTATGCTTTTAGAGCACGAAGAATGTCCTTTCTGCAAATGTACTTGTTGCAGTTGTAATTTAGTTGATTTTTTATTCATATCAAGGTGACATTATTCTACTAACTCTTCAACCACTGATCATTAAAAGGACATTTAAAAATGTAAAAAAAAATAACAAATTAGTATTATATAGCATGTTGCCTTAATCAAAAATGTTTATTATCTGGGACATTGAGTGATAATATTTCAAAGTGATTTCTGTCATTTTGAAAGACAATAAATCTTATATTTACCTGTTTTTTCAGGTAAACACTGTTAAAAAGAGATTAAACAAAACTGGAAAGAAATGTAATGGTTTTGGCGAATGCATACCAGTGAATTATTCATGAGATATATCATAAATCTAATCAAGGAGAACAGACTGCAAATGTGCAGCATATGTTGTTTTTTCATATTGTTACAGCATAATACAAAGAAAAAAAAAGAGAAAATAATCAGGAGGAAAGAATGCAGCGGACTCAAGAGAGATATTTTTGTTATACCATGTCACATTAAAATATCAAGCTTACATTATTCTCCTGACGTCTAAAGGAAATTGTACAGTTCATTCAGTCAAACTGATGGATAAGGATTATGATTATGATTTGCAATTATTTGTTTCAGTCTTTTTGAACAGTACTTCTCCAACCCAAAAGTGCCTCCCCTAATTTAAAACGCAACATCCTCATTAGGAAAAAGGTGGATAGGGACTATAATAAAGCTTATCGGCGCACAATCAATACTAATGGGATGTTTGGTGGAATCCAATTAACAAGAATTGCTTTTGTCCTACGCATCCTAATGAAGCAAATGTGCGTATGTGTTTTAGCCACAGGACGTTCCTGATGGGCACCGCGCGCCCCCGCCCCTCCCCCAGCGCAGCAGCAGCATACGCAGTATTGACACACAGACGCCCTCCAACGGCGGCCTCGGCAGTAACCGTAGCAACAGCAGCAGCCGGGCTGACTCTGTCTCACCGTCGTACCTCAGCATCCTCAACGACACGGTCGGAAACAGCCCGCTCGATGACACGCTCAACGAGAGCAAAGAAAGAGGTCAGAAGCGCACGCAGCATCACCATCGTCATCACAATAACCTAACATCAAACTATTTGAATCCTAAATATTCCTTTTTCCTGTCTTAGACCTAGGACCTTGGTCTCCTCTGCCCAAATATGCTTCATCTCCAAAGCCCAACAACAGCTATATGTTCAAACGTGAGCCTCCGGAGGGCTGCGAGAGAGTTAAAGCTTTTGAAGAAAACCAGTGAGTAACCGCTTTGTAGACATTTGGTCTGTATGTTGGTGTCTTTTACCTATGAATAAAGTATAAAATAGGGTTTGAAACTAAGTGTTTTTTTCATTTTCAACACAGAGTCAGTTGAAGCAGCTATACATTCAGAAAATGTCATTTGTCCAAAATATTATGAGCTATTTTATGTTGTATTTATTTTAAATGATGTTTGTATTTTTTTTTCAACCCTGTTACCAAAATATTTGTTTGAATACTGTTTAAAAAAGGTCTGTGATTTTGTAAATAAATAAATAAACAGAATACGAAATATGTGAAATAATGATAGATATGAAATAAATTAAAATAAAATACATTTAGAAATAAATTATATCTAAGAAAATTAGGTAACAGGGTTGTAGATTCAGCCCAAATTAAGCTGTAATTACAGCAATTACGGACTAGCTACTTTGGAATCAAATGTTTGTAGTTTGATAAAAAAAAATTCCTATAAATTAAAGACAAATATTTGTTTGATAATTTTTCCCAAAAATTATGGAAGCCCATTCTCGCCTTGCTTTGGTAAATCATAACTATGACATTAAAAGTCAAAATTATAACATAGTAAGTCATAAATATGAGGAAAAAAGTCAAAATTATGACAAATTAGACATAATTATGAGATAAAATCAATTATGACAAAACATCTTAGTCATAATTATGAGGCTAGTCATAGTCAGTTATATGCCACAAAAAGTCTAAATTATGACATTAAAAGTTGAAACCTTTGGTCATCATTGACTTTTTATCTCAATTTTAAATTTTGTCAGAATTTTGTCTTAATATGTCATAATTATGATTTATCAAAGCAAAGCAAGATTTATTTTTTCTTATTTGGCCGAAATGGGCTTTCATACTAAATAACTTTGGTAACAGAATTGAAAAGTGATTGAAGTGATTGAAAAGTAATTTGTGTAAAACATTTTTTTTTTTTAATTATAAAAGTACTGCCGAGGTGGGCCCTTGGACTTTAAAAAAAGTGATGGTACACTCATTTGTATCTCATGCGTGGAAAATAGCAAGACTTAGTTATTTTGTAATAAAGGTTTCCTCACATAAAAAAGAATTGTGAGGGATTTAACTGCCAGGAACATTCATATTTTTATCAGTATAAAAGACGCTCATCTTCACGAAAGAGCCATGAACTGGTCTTTCCATCTTCTGTTCCAGGCCAAGGCCTCTCCAAGAGATTCCTCCTTATCTCTGCCCAGACAGAAACAAGGTGAACTTCATTCCCAAAAGCGGCTCTGCTTTCTGCCTGGTGAGCATCTTGAAGCCTCTGCTGCCCACCCAGGAGCTGAACTTCCGTAGCGGGGTGGGATACCGCAGCATCTCCCCGTCATTGGTGCCTCTGGGTGGGGTCGCGGTGAGGAGCCTGTCCCCCTCCATGGGTCCCGTCTTGTCCCGTGGACGTCAGTCACCATGCCTCCCACGACATCTTGAGGAGCCAGAAGGTTAAAACGGAACAGAGGAATCTCAGCTGATGAACAGAGATGCCATTTTTCCCACACTCCTGTATCGTCTGATAGAGTCAGAGCTTTGTTAGGAATTTATTCAAGAACCGGTTCTGAACAACTCCGAGAGATATCAGTCTGAAACTTGAACATGAGTTTTTTTTTTTTTTTGTGTTCTAAGGGTAATGGTTACATGTTAAACGAGGATCAAAAGGAGGTTTTCAAGATGGTCTATGTATATAGATGAAACATTTTTAGTATTGCACTGCTTTTTACTTTCTCAACTATTTATTGCATTTTACCATGAAGCCTTTGAATTTTCTTATGTATAGCTGCATCCTTTAACCTAAACAAAAGTTTGGAATAATTAAGATTTTTGAAAGATGTCTCTTAAGCTTACCAAGGCTGTATTTATTTGATTGGAAATACAGTAAAACAGTAATATTGTGAAATAATATTACATTTTAAAATGTTTTCTAAACGTCATTTATCCTTCTGAAATCATTCTAATGTGCTGATTTGGTGCTCCAGAAACCATTTCTTAAAATCATTGTTGAAAACAGTTTTGAAGAAATTAATAAATTAATTATTTTATTCAGCAAGGATGCATTAAACTGATCAAAAGTGACAGTAAAGACATTTATAATGTTACAAAACATTTGTGTTTCAAATAAATGACATCTTTTGACATTTCTATACATCAAAGAATCCAGAAAAAATGATTTCCACAAAAATATTAAGAAGCAAAAACTGTTTTCATCATTAGTAATAATAAAAGAACTGTTATTAATAGAGTACCTATAGTAATTCTGAAGGATCATGTGACACTGAAGACTGGAATAATGCCTGCTGAAAATTCAGCTTTGACATCACAGGAAAACATTATTTTTTTTTTTATATATTATCATAGAAACCAGTTCTTTTAAATCGAATTTACAGTTACTACTGTATTTTAATCAAATAAATCCAGCTTTGGTGAGTATAAGAGACTTCTTTTAAAAACACAAAAAAAAAATCTGAATTTTTCCAAACTTTTGACCTGTAGTGTAAATGTAAGTGATTTGATTTACTAGGGAAATGGAGGTTTTAGGTCACAGTTTTGCTTGCTTATAGTTTACATGCAGTTTGAATAGTGCTGGAAGAACAACTAGAAATGTTGTAGCAGATTTGAGGAGGACTAACAAATGTGCCTGACTCCCGCCACTCGTTCGTAGGACCCCATTTGCATACAGTCTGTCCCTACATCCAGTCTCGCCCCTTAAATGTATAGAGCCCTTCCCCATATACATAACCGGTATGTGCTTAATGTGATTTGCTGGTGAGAGGATGTTTTGATGGTACACGAACAGCCTGGACACGCATTAGGAGGAGACATAGATGAAATGTACTGGACAGTATTATGATTATGATGCACTTATCAGTTCTGTTGCTAAATTTCAAGATTAGTTCAACAGAAAGGTGTCATTACTGTCATTTCAATCGAGTGAAGGAAAATAGATCAGACTATCAGAGCACACTGGATATGAAAGACAACGAGAGAAAAGGAATGCAAATAATTTAAGAGGGAGGCATGGCTTTAGCTAATAGTGAACTGATTTGAACTGTAGCATCTTTATACTGTGAAATTTACCATTAATCACACCGTAAAGCTTCCTTTCTTCCAAAAAGAAAAAAAGTTGAAAGAAAACGGGCAATTCTGAACAAATTGTATGTAATTGCCTTAATACTGAATTGTGTGTAAATTAGACTGGTGCCTGTTAGTGAATTTAAGATTTTCTTCTTTCTGTGAATACATTTCAAGATGGGTGTAACTCTGGTTTCTTGACAGGATAAATTTGGATTTTATATTGATTATATTGACTAATAACAATCAGAAACGGAATTCTACTCAGATTTATTTGCTCTCAAATGCAAAATCTCTCAATCCAGTCTCCTTCAATTAAATTGTACATTATTTAACCGAAACAAAGGCAAAGTTGCATAAAATAAACAGATGAAAGCAGCTGCGAATGGTGCGGTGTACATTCTTTTTCTTACAAACAAAAGTGATACAATAACATCGTTCCAAACACAAAGTGACACTTCAAAATGTTTAAACCACTCAAAGACAAAAACGTGCTCCATTAAATATGGAGTGAAATCCTGTGCGAAATGTACAGACAAAGCTATTCAGATCAACGAACATGTCTATGCTTAAAACAGACAACATACATTCTAGAACAATCCGAGACGGGACTCGGAGACAGTTTAGTGCAAGCGATAACTTGATTTCTTCAATGCAACAGAAAACCGATTGGTCACTCCTGATGAGACTAAACATGATCATCTGGGATAAAATGAAATGTGTAACGTTTTCTAGAGTAGGATATTTAGGTAAACCTGTGCTAAAGGTGACAAACGAAATAAAATCACATACAAAAACATTCCAGTGTATTGCATCACAGTGTGACAGTGAAGAACATTTGGGAGACGTAATTTCTCTGCGTGAGAGTGTTTCAGCATTTCTGTCACTGAAAACAAGAATGCATCACCTACGATTAGCTCCATTAAACTGTGACCTTCTCATTCCCACCAAACTAATGGCACAGCACACAACTTGCATATGAAGTTAACAGTAACACTTTTTTATTAGATTAATAAATAATTTGATTTATTTTATCATTTAGGGTTAAACTAATCCAGACTCCAAAAAATATTTGTGATTTACACGCAACTTCACACACTTTGGGTATCGGTCTTAATTAAAAATACAGTCTATAATCTATAATGGATGTTATAAACCTGTAACCCTGTTTCTGGACATTAAAACTCCCATTGTACAAAGCAAACAGATATACACACATTTACGCAGGTTTGGTCCTAGGCAAAAAAGCCCCTCATATACGAGATGGGCAAATCCTCACCTTCACGTCCCTTTAAACATGTGCACTTCATAAAGTAACAGATTCTTTGCTCTCAGGTAACAACACTATAGGTGTCCTAATGAACATACAGTAAATTCACGCACACAATGAAAGAATGGAGAAAAGAGAGACATTCCCATATCTCAGAAACCTTCCAGTGTTTTATATGGATAGAGACTTCTGGATGCTTCCTTGGCTCAGGTTGAATTGTTTCAGGAGAGGTAGTGATCCAGCTCCGAATAAAGGCTTGGGATATGCACTCCTTTCCATCAAAGAATATTTTGGATGTGATACAGCTCCAGACCATCCTTCACTGAGGGAGGTAAAAGGCTGCGTTATGACATGCACAATCTCACCTTTGCAATACAAGATTACTTGCGACAAGTAAAGCCATATTTATAAGTATTATACCTATAAAATATATATATGTGTGTGTGTATGTATATGTATATATACTGTGTGTGTATATATATATATATATATATATATATACACACACACTAGTGCTGTCAAACGATTAATCGCGATTAATGCATCCAAAATAAACGTTTTTGTTTACTCAATATATGTGTGTGTACTGTGTATATTCATTATTATTAGAATTATCAATGTTGGCAACAGCTGTGCTGCCAAATTTTTGTTTTGGAAACTGTGATGCTTCTTTCAGGATTCTTTGATTAATAAAAAGTTAAAAAGAACAGCATTTATTCAAAATATAAATCTTTTCTAACAATAT